AAATAAAAGATAGATTTTTAAATTTGAAAAGTTTTTTTTTATTGCTTAGATGGGTGGATGGTGTCAAGTGGTTACTGGAGCCCATAGACATCTACGATATAAACGCGCAACCCACCTTGAGATATAAATTCTAAGGTCTCAAGTATAGTTACAGCGGCTGCCCCACCCTTCAAACCGAAACGCATTACTGCTTCACGGTCGAAATAGGCAGGGTGGTGGTACCTACCCGCGCGGACTCACAAGAGGTCCTACCACCAGTAAAGTACCACCAGTTTCTTTCTTTTGAACCCCTGTATCTAATTACAAGCAACTTTTCCTATCAACGAATACCAGGAGAACATAAAAGGCGGTGCCCTAACAAGAGTTTTACTATCGAATCATAAATGTCAAGGCGCTTATTATTTTTCCCGTCGTAAAACAACAAAATAATATTGTAACAATAATCCGGTCGCCCCGTAATCTCGACGAGACGGATTCTCACAATATCACATTTTTATTACGCATTGTAATTCATTTTTATACAGCCACATGCGGTTGTTTTATTGTTAAATGAAAGCGTGACTTTGGCGACAATCGTCACAATGGTATGTAATAGTAAAAGTTTTATATTATATTGTCTTGCCATAAGTTTACGCGCTGTTAACTTATGACTTATGCTGATCGGAATACGAATCATAACTAAATTCAAATTATTTTATCTGTTAATAATAGACTATTCAGAACATTGAGAGTATTGTGAATGTTTTTTTATTGCTTAAATGGATGGACGAGGTCTCAGCCCACCTGGTGTTAAGTGGTTACTGGAGCCCATAGACATCTACAACCCAAATGCGCCACCTATCCTGAGACATAAGTTCTAAGGTCTCAATATAGTTACAACGGCTACCCAGGCCGAAACGCATTACTGCTTCACGACAGAAGTAGGCAGGGCGTTGGTACCTACCCGTGCGGACTCACAAGAGGGTCTACCACCAGTAATCTGTAGACTGTTTTTGAAAAAAGTCGAATTTTCATTAGAATATCTCATTACAAAAATATTTAAGGCATTTTGTGTTATATTTGACAATAAAAGGCCGCAAATCAGTTTAATGAACAAAAATAAAATGAGTAATAATTGAAACATTACTAAAAAGTAATTAAAAATTGAGAGCTCTTCGATATGGATATTTTTCTTTCTAGTGTAATATTAAAGATTAACTAAAGTTTAGTATTAATTATTTGACATGTTAAAAAACTTTAAGTATTTTTTAAATATAAATTGTTTGTATTACCCTACTACATTAACTAATGAAGAATCAGAATGAGTCACAACAAACATAGTCAAAAGATATATTCCGTAGAGAGGACTTTTTTATGTTCAAATCCATTTAAGAAAATGGAAACTGACCAATACATTTACATTCCAATTATTTCGAATGTTACTCGTAAAAGTTAATTTTCTGTCGCTTTCAACGTACACATGTATACAAACGTCCTAATACAGAGATAGCATTAAAAGTAATTAAGTCTTTTTACATTCGAAAGCATATTTTGAATGGGTAAAAATAAGGCTCAAAATTGCAAAATGAAGTTACCTTTGGGGTGCAATATTATCTTCTACATACAGATAAATGAGAAAAAAGTGGGGTCCAGTGGACAAAGTTTTTAATTTGTAATTACAGGACTGCGTCCGAGCTTTAAGCACCATTAACTTTTTTTTCGTAAATGATTGCATCGCAAGGTTCCGGATGCGAAATTAAATTGGACGTTCTATTGTGTTTACTCAAATAAGTTTCGTCAACTGCGTAATTAAAACCTTTTTAATGTCGGTTGATAATTACTGGTACAATTTAGCTAATTTTTTTTATTGTTTATTTGAATGGGTGGAAGAGCTCACGGCCCACCTGATGTTAAATAGTTACCGGAGCCCATAGACGCCTACAACGTAAATGTCGCCACCCACCTTGAGATATGAGTTCTAAGGTCTCAGTATAGTTACAATAATTACAAAAAAAAATCGTATACAGATATACATATTCAAGAATTACAAAAAAAAAGTGATAGAATGTTGTTTTGTATGTACCGCATGTACTCAATTTCTTCATAGAATCTAGTTCATCCACTTAACGCAAGTATTAAGCCGCATGTCTGCATCACGTTCAATATAATAAATACAAAGTCTCCTTAATGGACACTAAAATATACGTATAAAATACAATTTCGTGTATTTACCTCGATTCGGATCCAAAAGTGCGTCGTTAGCAGTTTCCACTTGACAATTTTATTGCAAACTCCGCGGCGTATTATTGAAAGTGTGTGAGGGCCCTTAACATCTCCCTTACGCTAGTTATCACATTTTTTGATGTGCCTGCGTCTTTTCTCGCCCACTTCACTTCCTTTTGTGTGCTCAATATTTTCGTGTTTACGGCGGTTTGTTAGAGAATTGTCTACAAAGTAATAGTATTAGTAACACAATTCCAGTTTATACGTGTTTGGTCTTGGTAAAAGGAAATCCAGTGTTTCTTTAACTAGTCTATATTGTTTGGTTCTTTTTTTAACAATTCGAAGTTTTTAGTTACAGTAAACATTAAAATTAAAAAGTTATGTTTCGACATTTGCAAAAAAATCCTTGGATATTTCCCGACAAATAGCCTCTCATGTTCAAAGCTCTTTGCCAAATTGAAGAACGATGTCCAAAAGGACGCTCCTCTCTGCCAAAGAGGGAAAATCAAAGGAAATCTTATGAACTTTATTATTCGTGAGAGTTGTCTGAAAACTCCTGTCAACTACAAAACGATGTGTCAAATTATTAATCTAATATTAACATTTTGGCTACGAAAATGAATCTATCTATGTAACAGAACTTTTTAACGTAAATGTTACAAATTTTAAGACGTCCAAACAATGTGAAAATTGCTTCCTTATCGTGGATGATGACAACGGAATAATTTTATAATTTGGACTAATATTTTGACCAGGATTATCAAGAAATAAAAAAGTGTTATTTTTAGTTTGGCTTGCTTGATTATTATTTTTATTATTTATTTTAGTATCAAAACCTCTTGGAATAATAATTTAAACGGTATTAAGATAAACATAAAGCAGAGTCTGAATTCTGAAATATTTCCTTGTGATGAAACCCTTGTGAATTCAAGCATTTTCTTACGTAGTCTGACTGTGAGATGCCATTGTTTTGCGGGCAACATACCAAGTCCAATTGTTCGCATACTTTATAAGTAGGAGGTTTGAATTTCGGTAATTTACGTGCGTAAAACGTTTTTATTTGTTTGTTTTGATCGATATATATGAGTCGTCTATTATCAAAGGTGGCAATCTGTGCATTTGGACAAAAAAATGTTATTGATATGTCAATACAGATTGATTTGAATATAATGGTCTCCTTCAAAGAATACGGTTCAAAACCTGCATTAAATAAAGGTTAATACTTAACCTGCTATTTATCTAAAATGTCGTTCAGAAGAGTTTTGTGACTGCCAATAGAATACAAAGTCAATAATTCGTTTTTCTGATTTACCAATAATTGTCCAAAAGTCACATTGCCGGCTTTGATAATAGTCGACTCATATCACTACAGTGTTCCAAGTTATGATTTTTTTCGACAGATAGTACCAAAACTTGTAGGTACTTTTCAATACCTATACATTTTCAGTGACACTAAGACTTGTGCTTGTCAAAGTTCACATTGAAAATGTTAATATACAATAAAGCTTTTTATGAGAATAACTTAATTGCGCTAAAAGCTTAATTCAATATACCTTGCTGAATAGCGAGATACGAAAAATCCTGCTCATAATTAAATTCTTAATACCGTCTGTGGGTACATAAATTCGCATGACGTATAAATGTGTTATTTGAATAATATTACAATTTGGAACCGTTGGAACCTCGAGTTGGCAACTCCATTTGCATACTACAACCATAGTGCAAAAATGAAGTAGTAAGGACAGCCAGTGATTTTGTTTTGAATTTTATAAAATATCAGAAAGCTAAAATTCCAGAAACAAAAGTATACGGCCAGATTCATAAGTTTTGGAGTAAATAGCAACAACTTTGCTATTTGGTTAATTTCATGTATATCTTTACTTGATTAATTTCCAATAAGCGAATTAATTCCAAAATACAAACAAAGTAAATGATGCACGTCAGGGAACTTTAGTTAATATCAAATTACTAAATCCGACGTTCGTTAAATAAATATTATTTAGTCTAATAATTAATTGATCAGATAATCTTATGGTTAAACATTTACATGGAATGCTGTCTTCGAGGATACAATATGAAGCATAAATGCTCTGATTATAATCGGGCGTAATAGGCATAGCATAGCATAAATAATACAAAATGCCTTGTCGCTACTGGAAGTTTGGATTTCAAATAAGCAATATTAATACTCGCATTCGCAGGCACACTATTTCTTGAATTTTTAACTATCTAAAATAGTGTGGTCTATATAAAATAATAGAGAAAAGTTTAACATGAATAAATTTTTCTAGTGATGGCTACAAAAGAAATAATCTCGGCCTTCATAATAATTAACAATATTTTTTGGCCCGGATGAAACGTTTGGTTTATAGCTACCCCATCTTCAAAAAAGGTCATACTGACAGGTAATTATTGGCATACAACAAGTAGAACACTATAAAAAAACAAAACTCATGTTCGAAAAGGCATCTAGGTGCCTAATTTCTATCATAAGCCCGCAAAATCATCTTCAATTGAGTACGATAACACGTTGTATATCTAGATCGATTTAGACTACATCGAAGCTGACCCATGAAACTACTCATAATGCATTTTTCACGTATGTTTTTCTAGCTTTATGAACGTTAGAGGGGAAATATATAGTGAGAACTAAGCTTTTTTATTTTATTGCAAGCACTATGTAGTATTATTAACTAGTTAGTTATTTAAATACAAAATAATTTGCAGTGGTTAAACGAGAGTTTCAAACAGTTCCAAAAAAAATTATCAGGTGATAATGTACAAATAAAACTATTTCCAAACCAAATACTTGTCTTGTTTACACCTACTAAATCCATAATCTGAAGCCTATGTAGCTGGCGGATCTTATTAAAGTGACAGACGTGCTTCTAAGCGAACTAACAAAATTCAAAAGGCACCAAGCCACTCCTTAAGGCATTATCTACAAGAAAGACATTTCATAGCGCTACAAACAACACAGCATTAAATTATATATTTTGATTAAGTAATGAAAACACAACAGTTTTAGGTTTTTCTTTTAACATTCTTCTTCTTTTTCAACAATAGCCAGACCAATTACATGACACGACTTATCGCTGATAATAGAATTCATAGAGTTCACTATTTTCAGTTCCGTGGTGTAGCTGCCACAGAATTCGTGACGGAGAACATCTTTGACACCCGCAAGAGAAATCGACAGATCTTGGATGTTGTAGTCGTCCTGAAAATGTAAAAATTGGATTTATTTAAATTTTAATAAGAATAAATTTTAAAGTTTTAATAAAATCTTTCTTTTACGAATATCTGTAGTTACTACTAGTCGAAAAATGTCTTCAATCTGTTTCTTTTAAATGTATACCATTTGTTTTGGTCGCAAACGTGAATATTTTTCCCTTTTAGGCCTCAATAATCATGCTCAAAAATTCATATTTTCACATTTTGAAGAAAATATGTGAATCCATACCGCGGGCACGGGGCATTTGCTGATCCTTAGACATTCCAGCAAAGGGTACCAGGGCGCCTCAGCATTCTGCAAATTCTTACAAATGTCCCATCTTGCACTGCTCACGAATTCTTTTTGTCCGATTTCGGTTTCTTTCCACACTTCTATTTGTATCTGTAATTATAATGCATATTTTAAAATACCCTACTAGCCTATCTGAAGAAAAGTTTTTTTTTTAGTTATGTACCTCCTTATTTAAAATAGTAGATTATAGTAGATTAAGTTTTGTTATTGTTGTAGGTGATAGTAAACTGGGTTAAGTAGTTATGGAAGCAAATTGGCATCACAATGAGAATATCGCCAGGATTTTTCGGACATGACTTCACGACTGATTATTTTGGGATATTAGTATTTTTGAAAGTTGTTTTACCTATGCTATTGCTGTTTTGCAATAGTGGCCAGTTTGATTTGAATAAACTGTAAATAATTCATTATTTTAAAAATATGGAATACTATTTTTACATAAATTGTACGTACCGCATCGCCTTTTTCAATAGCAGAACTAAGTTTTATCTGCCCTTGCATAGTCATGGAACCTTCTCCGTCTTCGTCGCCTTCCTCAGTAGCAAAGTTGAGACCTTCCGCATTCAATATTTTATTTTCGAAGCCGTCGCAGTCGTTAATTTTATCAAGAAACATCGCTTTGTATACGACCTATTAGATAAAAGGTTAATTAAAAAGTTTTGACCTAAACTTTGAATTATACCAAATCTTTTAAATATGAAACTTTTGTGAAATGGGTTTTTTAAATAATTGTCTTAAGAACTTTGTTATAGTACAAGCAACAAAAAGTATATTTGTAATTAAATAATACGAGAAAAAAATACTTACACATTTTTCTGTTAAAACATAATCGAGCCACAAAAAAACAAGAAATATCTTGGTCATTATAATGAACAAAGTCGTTACTAAAAATCTGCAGTCGCTGTTTCATGTCGTGAGCAAGTTTTTATACTAAACACGATTGCAATCTTTATTGTCCATAAACATGATAGATCGTACTGTGATAATTCATTTGTACGAGATCAATAGTTTGCATGAAAACATGTTTTGTTACGAGCGTTGTCGTTTGCAGATGAAAATGGGATGTTTATGCATAATTAGAGACTGAGTTTTTGTACGTAATAAATTAATGTCTTAAATAACATGATTCTGATTTCATTATTTCTTAAATATCTTGTGGATTTAGAAATATTCCAAGTCAAATGCAAAAGAAACTAGTTCCAGTTGAAACCTTTTTAAATTTTATTCAAGAGACTGTTACTTATTTATGAGAATGTCATAAGACAGGCTTTTGCTACATTAGGTGCCTGTTCTCCGAAGATGTTATTATTTGGGTCGTTGTTGAGTGACCGAAGCGACTGGCGATAGTAATAAATATACATTCCGATTAGTTTTGGTGCAGTCGCAATCCACTTTTATTTAAATCGCATTTTATCTCTTTGGAACAGATCATTTCAAAATTTTCTGTTGCAACCACGAGTTGCAAGCACGATTTTTATCACTACCCTGCATCGTATGCCAAAACGTAAAAAGAATCCTATCTGGATAATTGAAATTTTTTTTATAAATTTTTTTTTAGCAGAAAAATGATTTCCTAACTTGCATACACAGGAGAACACTGATACTTGAGGTGACAGCCACGGGATGAGATGGGGTGGTGCTATTCTAAACCACACCGCCGAAATTTGAAGACGGGAGTATGCAGCGGTCTCCCAGAACTACATATTATCTAGTATTATCTAATAATATACAATCATACTTTCGTAGTAAGAGTATTTCGTTAGATTCCTACCAAGATATTAATTCATAGCCCCTTAAATACTAACGGTAGGGCGTATTGTAAGCGCAGGGGCATATCAATATAATAGTCATTTCGCAGCATAGCTAATCTGCGTTTCTATTCGTAGAGTAGAAAAGCCGTAATAATAATTAATTTTAGAAGTATATCTTGAATATCATCAATAGGTAGGTTACATTTGCGATGAGGTACCTGTGAACTCCGGTGCCCAGTGAGTTTGAATAGCAAGTTGTAACAAAGGCGTTGTAACAAAATATTTTTCCAAAAAAAAACCGGTTTGTTACACAATTCTGTAACTCAATATTAAATTTGGGTTAAAATAATAAAGAAATGAGAAGAAAAACAGTGATACTCAAATATTAAGAAAACGCTGATGGAAGTCAGATAATTTAATAACCATATCAGAAAACAAATAAATGGAGCTGAAATACAACTATATCATTTCAAATACAGTAGTTTTATGTAAATATAGCCTACTTTTAAACTGTCGTAATTTTTGCATTTCCGATTGTAGTTTCCCCTCTCCGTATATGTTATCTCGGAGGGTAACAAATGATTATATTCAATTTATGATTTATTTTGTGTTTTTATACTACTTACTCACAATGTGTTTTATGGCTTTTGTTTTCATGATTAGAACTCTGTTGCTAAAGTTTGGATACCACTGTAAGCTCATTGAATTGCTATTCTAGCTTTTTTTTAGTTTGTGCCGTAATTTTTATACCTATAATATGTGTCAAACGTGTTTGTGACTGTTGTATCTAGTGTCTCTGAAGGGTAGGCAGCGGCTTGACTCTGCCTCTGGCATTGCTTAAGTCCATGGGCGACGGTAACCACTCACCATCAGGTGAGCCGTGTGCTCGTCTGCCTACAAGGGCAAAAAAAAAAAGTTAGTTTAAGACTTAGTGAAGCAACCAATATTACGTGATTTTATTTGATAAATGCTTCTAAAACTTTACAGAGATTTCAGAAGCTCAATTTCTCACAGTTCTAACAAGGCACAGAATTGTTGAATTAAATTCTGCTAGAAAAATTCTGGCCAAAAATGCTTTCGTGCATTCACCGTCAAGAAATTAATTCCTTTCCAAATACGCTCATATAATATTTCGAAAATAAATTAATATAAAAGAGGTCTTTTTTATTTTTATTGCTTGATTTAGTTCTATTTACAATTTTAATTATACTTCTTAGAAAAATAAGCCCACAAGATTTGTACTTGACCTTTAGCCAGATAAAAGTAACGAAAAGTGTGGGTTCGTGGTATAGGGCAGAGAAAATACAAAAGTAATGGAATGTTCGTATTGAGTACAAGGATATGGAATTAGGTATAAAAATGATCTAGTTATATAAGTGTTACAGACATTGTGGTTAAGTGACGTTTTGTAATTTAATGATAATTAAAATTTATATCAGATAGCATAGATAGGGGCAGCATCCTTTTCCCAGTGTACTGAGCTGGGATATATACTAAGATGGCAAAGCATTTTCTTATTACGTCATGTGAGCCTCCTCGAATATGTACAAAGCAACCCAACTTATACTCGATTTTAAGGATGGGGCAGGCGTTAAGAAATGTAATCGAGATTTATGTCTCAAGGTAGACGGAGGCTATTATGTAGTGATGTCTATAGGCACCAACAACCAATTGGGCTGTTTATTTTTTTCAATGGCATTTGCTCATACATGTCGTCATCATAGTCGGCTACCCTTGGCAGAGCAGTCGTTGTCATGTTGAATCCTTGTTTTATTAACGCCTTGACAGCTGTTCTCCATAGTTCGCGAACTAGGTATTTGCGCACGCATTCATTAAGTGGGGTTTTGGTAAGGATTTTCATCTGATCAGCCCATCCCATGGGGCTTCGTCCACGAGATCTTTTACCATTGACCCTACCCTGAACAACAAGTATCTCGAAAGACTCTGCTGGCCGTCGCGATACGTCTCCATTGACGCCAACCTTTGAGAGATATTAAGTTCTTTTAGAATCGAGGTGTTGGTGCGATACTCAGTCCAAGATATGCAGAGCATCCTTCTCCAGCACCACACTTCTAGTGCATCGATCCTTATCCTTTCTCTTTCTTTAAGAGTCCAGGTCTCAATCATACATTTACCTGCATATAATAAAATAATATAAACTTAATTTATACGATAACAAATTAAAAGATAATTTAAGCCTTCATATTTGTTTTTTATTTCAATACATCATTTCACAAGCATTACTGGCCTAAGTATTAGAGTATTTCAATTTCAAATTTATAGTTAATTAATCACGATCAACAGGCAAACCTTTTCAAACTTCAAAATTTGAATCCGTTTGAATCTCTAAGGAAAAACTTATATCTTAAGAAGGAAAATTACTATCTTAATACCAATTAATAAATAACATTACAAATCATAACAAGATTGTATCTTAGAAAGTGTCAGAGATTAAATTAAACAGATTCTTATCGCAAGTCCAAAGATCAACCTCGTATTATCACTCACGAGAATTTATGATTATTGCTTTATTTAAGATTATAAGTTTCACAGTTGAAGAACCTTTAAGCATCCAAGATACTCGATATATGCAAATCAAAACATTAGTGCCGTGGTTTGGGATTCCCGTTAACATCAGTTTTACAAAATACATTTTGGATATATCTCTTGAGAAAACAACAAAAAAAAATTGATTTTTATATATTTTTTCCGCGATAGGGTATTCTTCGAGTTTGCCGCCAAGTTTAACCAGATTATTTTAAACATCAATTATAATGTTGCTATTTCTCTAACAGTAAGAGGGGCTCCTTTATCAATCTCAGACACACACAAAGCTTGCGATTTTTACATCCAATTATTTGGATTTGGGCATGATGTAACATAATTACCTAAGTATCTATTTAGGTTTCGGTTTCTGGATAAATATTCCACGTCCAGCAACTATTATGTACATGTTGTTTTGTTGGACATAATTTTTTAACAATAAAACCTCCAATAAATTTCATTTTAAAGATATTAAAACCAGTACAACAAAATTCATAAATCAAATAAACAATGTTATTTGTCAAATTTATAATTTTACAGTCGTAGTATATGGTAAATAGTTGTCATTAATATTAAGCTATATCATTATTATCATAACAAATAGACAGTAAATCGAAAACTGTGAAGCTTCCACTGACTTAGACATAAAAAAACTGAGTATTTATCACAAATTTATCACTCGTTCGACGATTGCAAAGTCGACTCGATCCAATCTATGTAATTAGCTACCGAAGTGTAAACTCCTGGCCATCCATCACGTCCGCAGCCATAACCAAATGAGACAACTGCAACTGTTTCCCAAACGCCATCAGGTCTCCTCAACATAAGAGGTCCGCCGGAGTCTCCTCTACAAGCGTCTTCGGCGAATACACCACCAGCACATATCTGCCTATCAGTCAAATCAACTCCTAATTGTCTATATTTTGAGGCGCAATCATTCTTTGCGAATATTGGAACATTGAGTTTTAATTTGACGGGGCTATTGCGACCTGTAATGTAGATAATTTATGTTCGTAAATAGTAATTTAGACCTTACAGTGAATAAGGTTAAGGATAAAATGGCTTAACAAGTAAAAAACAAACAATAAAAATCAATGGCTATATACACAAATCGAACGACACGAACGTAAATTCCATGTACCTACCTCGATATAATTATTTCTCGGAATTTCTAAAACACGTAACTATGAAAACTTCTAAAATCAATAAGGACTTACCGTTTAAGGTTTTCCCCCAGCCCGCAACGAAAACGTCATTACCTACGTCCAATCGACCGTTCGGTTCGACGAGGCAGATAGGTTGAACGTAATCTGCAAAAAAATTGATGAAAAACTTGTAAAACGCGCTATTAAGTGGAATGACCGGCGGAAGCCGAGAACTTAATTACTTTACGACGACGAAATCATTCGCTAGTATTAAAATGTGTTTTAGATATACATTTATATATTATCAAGTAACTCCACGTTGAATATCTCATTCAGAAAGAATGCGGTATTTTACATTTTTCCCGGAAAAATGAATTATTTATGCCTCTCTTTCTGATCTATAAACTATCAATAAATGTTTATGCACGTACATATTTATTATAGCATTGATAAAAAGTATCATATGTTTTAATGCCTGTTACAATCTATCTTTGTGCAAAATTAGATCCAAATTCCCTTTGCCATTTTGCGTTATCGAGGCACAAACCTACAAAAACCTTGTATTTATAATTTTAGTATTTATATTGTTAAGGCATTGAATTTCCAATAAGCTATATTCCTACGAATTCATTGACATAGTATTTTAAAAAAGGATTTTGTTTCACCTTTTTTAAAATATTATGTAATGAATTCGTAGGACATAATTTCTTAATTACACATTTCTTTAAAGATTATTGTTTTGACTTTAGTCATAACTGATTTCTAAATAATTTCAGCATGACTCCCAAATTCCAATGTTATAACTCTATTGACCCCCTGCTGATTTCTAGATCCCAAAGGAAAAGTTGCTGCCCACTTATATTCAGTTCTAACTACATATTAAGTCAGTGCTGAAGCACTAAAATTCTAATTAAGAATCCATCCAGTTACAAAATTAGAAGTATACAATAAGACTCACATGAATAGGTAACTCTCCTCGCCAATCGAATTAAGCCAATATCATCTTTTCTGTTCTTATTCTGGTCGCTAAATCCCTGATGAGGATAGACGGCAAGTACTGGGATGTCTTGCGGCGGATCCGCACACACATTGTCAACACAATCCCGGTCAGATTGAGTGTCGTATTCGCCAAGACGAACCGTAGTCCTTTAAATGTTTGATTTTGTATTAATTTCTTATGTCGCCTATAGTACTGCACGATCAAGGTCGATCTCATTTCTGGTCCCTATTGATTTTTCTTGTAATTGCGTAAATCTACATTACCGATATACATTTATAGTTGGAATAAAGTTTCTATACTTCAAACCGCAACGCATGATTGATTCACAGTACAAACTGCCGGTCTCACAATAATGACCTACAATTATTAATCTGTGTTTTATTATTTTATCTGCGTCATTTTTTCGTTTTCCTACTTCCTGTTCGTATTGTCTATGTTTGTCTCTCTAATAATAAATATTCAGTTAATGCGCACGTTGATTTACCTTTTTTTTTTTCTACCTAAGCTGATGGTCTATGGAGACCATATCAACGTAACTTTAACTATTAAGTGAGCTCACGGGGCTCAAACCTGACGATGTTGCTACAATGAACCCTAGCAAGGGCCGTGCTTCGCAGAATCTACCGCCGGATCGGAAACGCGACCCACTGAAAAGATTCGGCGAGAAACTCAGTGGGCTGTGTCTATGGGTTAATTTACTTGCCGAGCCCTTCGTCGCAAGCGACGGGTTCGACGAGAACGATGACCGGTACTTGGGGTACCTAAAAACACCGTTAGTGGATCGGGAGGATCCGAAATGACGTGTTTTGGGCGACGTCGACTATTTAACATTTGGTCCGCAGGATCAGCTATGTAGTTTCCGACGGCCACGATCAGAGGATTATCATGTCGTGCCGCTTTATCGAAGTGGTGATTTACCCCTTAACTATACAATATTACCATTGCCAATTTAGCCTAAGTTAAGTAATACTAGTAAGGACATTTCAAAAAATAAATATATTTTTTTATTGCTTAGATGGGTGGACGAGCTCACAGTCCACCTGGTGTTGAGTGGTTACTGGAGCCCATAGACATCTACAGCGTAAATGCGCCACCCACCTTGAGATATAAGTTCTAAGGTCTGAAGTATAGTTACAACGGCTGCCCCACCCTTCAAACCGAAACGCATTACTGCTTCACGGCAGAAATAAGCAGGGTGGTGGTACCTACCCGCGCGGACTCACATGAGGTCCTACCACCAGTAAAAGTAATTACACGCTGTCTACAAAACTTGAGATAGTTGACCTAAGTTAATCAAAATCTTAACCTTGATAAAAAAAAACACTTTCATTACGTCATTTATCTGGAAATACATTTATGTGACTTCTAAAGCGACGATAGATAGATCCAGGGCCAAGATCACAAATAACGAAAATAAGTTGTTCCGAAGGCCAAATTATTCAGACCCTCTTGAGGGGTAGCTGTATTTTTAATTTATACAAATAAATAAAATTGGAGTGTAATATTTGTTGTATATACTGTTATTGGAGTGTGTTTGTAATAAAAAATGTGTGCGTGTACTAGTGTACACACGTAAGAAGTGAAACTTGTTTATGGCCTTATTTTTCGAAAAATGATCTACATGCAACTTTCTAGAAATTGGTTAAATAAAGTTAAATTAGATAAAGTTTAAACAAAAGGATTTTATTATCATAGACATGAATACAAAAAAGTTAAATTAGATAAAGTTTAAACAAAAGGATTTTATTATCATAGACATGAATACAAAA